TGTTCATTTTCTTGAAAGTATGCATTTGTGGTTACCCTTCCTTTCATCATAGCTTCCAATCCCACCTCTGAAGAGAAACATTGGAATGAAATACTAGTCTGTTCTAGCGGATGGCCCAGAAATAATGAACCTCTCAGTATTTTGCACATTTCAACTTAACAAAATCACAGTTAAAGCCATATTTTTTTAGTATTTGCTTGGATTCTTAGGTCTGTGTACTTTTTAATCTCAGTTCATTCGAACCGAAATTAGACTATTTATGTGTCAATGACCATTAGCCTTAAGACAGATTCATTATCCAGTAAACGAATTTTGACAATAATTTTGTTGAAATTCGACTTCCTAATTTGCAAATGCTGTCCAACAAGATCTGTATGCTGCCGTACTGGCAATGACGATCAAACGAGTGAAAAAACTAAGCGTGTCAGCGCGTAGATGACATAATAAAGTTGGGAATATTGAAAAACCAGTACAAGTAGGTACACTTCGTCTTTCAATGATACTAAATTTGTTATAAAAATGAGTTATATACTTCTGAAGAAATCGTCTCTGTTGTGAAACATTACTTTCTAATCCAACATTCTAGCATCTGGATGTTTCATTGTGTTTCGAGTGAAAGAGCTAAAATGACCTGCCTGTTGTACTAAGTAGACACCTCCACTACAACGACAACAACTGCAACAACCTCAACAACGACAACAACGACAACCATTCCGATTTGTAGGTTGTCTTGTGTTAACGTGACATCTCTTTCTAGCGTGCCGTTTCTCGCGCGTTGGACCTTCGAGAATATGTATGCTGACTCTATGTCAACCTACAACGCAACGCCCATCAATACTCCGAGCTTCGTCCCAGGCTACGTGCATCAGGCTCTATCTCTTGACACATCGCTATATAATTACTTGTCAACTTCATTCGTTCCGTTAAACTCTCGAAGCTTCACTGTCGACGCTTGGATTTATCCGACGGGCTATCCTAATCCGAGTCGCCTTCATACTATCGCCGGTCTTTGTCTACAACAAACAGCACAACAGTGTCTTCAACTCTTTCTCCGCTTTAATTCGACTGTGGCGGGTTCTACTGCTGTCTTCGGTCTCTGGGAAAGTGCTGATCTTAAGGGAAAGGTGCCCATTTACGCGAATGTATGGACACATATCGCATTTGTCTATCGAGTAGTAGGACAGCAGATCATCTATATTAATGGGATCTACGATAATTCGCGCTCAGGATCAAAAGGTTTCAATGGAACTTCAGGCTTGTTCTACATTGGAAACAACTATAATCTCGTTTCAAATCCTGCATTCGGAAATAATAGTTTTGAAGTAGAAATGCATGTATTCTAAATTTTGTTATTCCTGTTTTTAAAATTCTCTGCTTTTTTTGAGATGAGCGTATTTATAGCAAACGCGATAGAATCGTGGACTGAAAATTAAATGAAACTACAGTTTCATTTCGACACAAGGAAATGCGAAAGATCCTAGTGTGCGTATCGCCGTTCGTACTCTTCGAGTATTTGGAAAAGCTTGCAGCACAATTGTTGCCGGATTAAAATATGAAACACGATCAAGCTACTTGAACCATAATTAAGAAACCTTAGCTCGGTATGCCAAAAATCTATTTTAGTGTTACACACTGTCACAGTCTGTGGCGTAATGTAAGAGGATTTACTTTTCTCGCTACATATCTCAACACTTTTTAACGATTTTGTTTCACAAAACTTTTTTAGTTTCCTGAAGTCGCAGGTTTCTCAGCATTTTTTAAAGAATAAGACCAAAAGGGAATCGTGCGTATATTCTCATATTTTTGTGGAACTCACTTGAAAAAAGAAGGTGAATGTAAGTTTGTATCCGAAAATTTGCTGCTTCCCATTACAGACACTTGTGCTTCAAGTGGGTTTTTAACTACAGTGATTTTACCGTATAATCATATTGGAAAATAGAATCAATTCAGAAAAGACGCTTTTCTTTGTTGGGCGCATTCATTGTTTACTTTTTCATGATCTTAAAGATCACTGTCCATTGTGGATCTTCGAACCATAGTACTGTGGATATTTAGAGCTTGATATTGTAGCTTTTCGAGTCTCATACTGTTCGTTATATAAAAGAGTAGGAATTTTTAATTGATTTGAAATCTCGAAGTCCAAAATAATTGTTTCTCTTTCTTCGTACAGTAAATTCACTCTATTTATAGATGGTCACAGATGGCAGCTACCTCATGTGTTATTGTGATATTCTGATGTGAGTTTCACATTTTAGTCTTATTGGGACCGCGCTGACATGCTCTTGTTTTTATTGAAACCGATTATCAAAAAAGAATATGAGTTTCACCGTGACCCTTAATAAGACGATTTTAAAACCGATTGAAGTGACAAGAGAAAAGATTTAAAAAGAGTGACCTTCTCACAGTCACACCTTGCTGCAGTTAACTGTTCTCTAATTATAAACATCCAATTTTCAACTTGTCTGCTTAATCATATTGAAAAATTTGACAAAGAAGCTTTCTTTATTTTTGTATCGTTCAAGGGTTATATCGATCAAATAACAATAAGCGATGGAGAGAGATCGCAATGCGAACTTCTAAATGTGGCTACATTGGCCGCTCGTTTTTCGTTTGATAATACATCAAATATTCTTGCCGATTCTGGCCCGAACGATGTGTCTGTGAATGCATTCAACTACATTGCAGTGAGCGGCGTGAAGGTAAATCACGCCATCTCATTCAATAGTTTATCGTCTTCTTATTTACAAGCATCGGGCTTTCGCTTTCTTCCGTACAATAATACACCTCTTTCATTGTCTCTCTGGGTGCAACCGATATTGCATCAAGGAATTCTTATTGATTCCTCATTAGGATATTCACCTCTGGCTTTTGCATCAAGCGGTTCTATCATCGCTCAAATTGGCACTGTTTCGATCATGTTTAATTCTCTGCTTGAGCTGGCACCCATTTGGACACATCTTGTTCTAACGTGGTCATCTTCGAATGGACTTCGTCTATACGTGAACAATCAACTTGTTGCGAATGCACCAGCACCGACATTGATAGGAAGTGGTGTAACAACAAACTATTTGACAATTGGAGCAGGATCGTTTACAGGAGCCATTGATGAATGGCGCGTATACTCAAGAGAACTGACGTCGAATGATATATGTGTTCTCTTTGCTAGCTAAAGTCGTTCCTCTCTATGGGCATTTTTCGTCGAAAAATCGATACGGCTCCATAAGACTTCCATTACAAACTTTTTCTTCAAACTCGAACTTATCCAACTTAATCTTAATCTCCATTATAAAAACTCGTGATAAATATGTATAATGCACAATTCATCGCTCTTTTTTTACAACATAACGTTTTTGGCACTCATTCTTTCACACTTTTTCAATAGAAAACAAAAGAGAAGAACGAACTTTCACTATTAACTCATATCATTCTTCCTTTTCATTTAATCACGATCCCCAAACTGTAGGGTGTTTATGAAGAGGATATCAACACCTACACTCACACACACACCCTTTCCATCACAATAGAATGTTTGTGAACTTGCTGGTCTTCGGTGATATTTGCAGTAAATATTGCATAGTATGATTTTAATCAAATATCTTCGTAGCCAAAGAAGAGATTGAAATTGTTGCATTTGTTTTGAAATTTGAAAAGATGTATTCATAAGAAATGAATTTGATGTCGATCAAAGGAAGTGATCGAAGTTTGATAAATTGTTCGATTGGGAAATGAGAAGAGAATAATTTTAATTGACCAGGTGCATCATCATCATCTGAAAGTGTAAATATAATAACTTGTTCTGGTCGAATTCGGCGACATAGAATTTCAAAATGAGTTTTGGTAATCGATTTGAAATGGAGACAATTGTATTTATATGAGAGTAAAACACTATCAACGTAGTTGTGAAGACCGAAAAAATGCGAAAAATCTCATTTGTTGAGAAATAATCGAAGAGCATGTGCAAGAGTTCAACTGACCAACGATCAAAAAAGACGATCGTACATGCTATGATAAAGTTAATTTCGAAGACAATAAAACAATATCTATCGTATCGATAAACAAATGGTTTGAAAACAAGCACGATAATTTTATGCAAGTTGATAGCAATTCAATGACCACCTGTCCAGTTTCTCTAATTTAAACTTATTTAGATGCATATATTCTCTTCTTTAAATGTCAACCAATTTATTGACACAAGAAAAATCAGCACAATCGGCGAAAACAAATTAATGATTGGAGATTTTGATACTGGCTATAGGCTATAACACGTATCGAATTGAATTCCTGTGACATGTCAAATTCATTATTTCAACACGAAAAAAGTGCATTTTTCTCTTTTCGACTGCATCATTATCCATGACAAGCTTTAGCAACGAACATTTTAATGAGACGTACTCTGGTTGAAAACACAGTTGACAACGAAGCGTTTTTCTTGAAAAGAAAATTCTTTAAAGAGATGCCACATGTATTATTACTTGTGTTTCTTGACGCCATTGTTAACAATTTTCTGTTCTCACCTGAGTTATTAGAGTAGCATTAATATTAAAATTACCCGTAATGCGTTGGTATTATTTTCATTGGAATTAATTAATACCAAGTTGTTAGTATCAAGTTTGCATGTTTTTTTAAAATTCTAGTACAAATATTATCTGTGACTATACCTCGGAAAGTTCATATTCGAAATTTTCTGCCGACAGAACAAAGCCTTTTTTACCGAAAGTGACATTTCTGAAAGAGAATAACACCCACAGTCACACATATTTTGTAAACTCAAGAAATGTTCTCCTCTAATCCTGTGTAAATGTAATTTCTGTAGAAAATTTTATCAAATAAGATAAGAGAGATTTTTGTATATTTCTCATCTGGTTGTAATAGGCTTGTCAATAAAGACTTGTTTTGCATGATAAAGTATAGAGTGATAAATTTTGAACATGTTTTCACTGACATTTACGACCCGTTGTTGATCATAAAATCAAATAAAAAGTTCAATTTCATTTATGAAGATGTCTAACAACACAAGTCACACTATTCATCGTCTCAATGAAATCACTACTAATATCTATCGATTTACTTTTCCTCCTTTGATCATTTTTGGTCTTATTGGTCATATACTTGATATAATTATATTTACTCGACCGAATCTCATTTCAAATTCATGTTGTAATTATTTTCTTACATCATCATGTGTTTCTATTATACAAATTGTATTTGGTCAATTATTTCGTTTCTTAAAAGGTGGTTATCATATACCAATACCAGTTCTTTGGTGGTGTCGAGCACGTGTATTTTCCTTATATTCGACTCACTTGGCATCAACAACTCTAATGACACTTGCCTCTGCCGATCGCTATGCATCATCGTTTTATCAAGTAAAATATCGTCGATTGGCGAATGTTAAAATTGCACGACGTTTGATTCCAATTGTTTTAATCATTTCAGGTCTTTGTCGGTCGCATATGTTAGCTTTTTTTGTTCTTGATAAAGATGAAGAAGACGAGTGTTGGGCTCCAAGAGCAACTCATTATCGATTAAGTTTTGATACTGTTTTTCTTATTGTTCATGGAATAATCTTTCCTGTACTAATGGGTATATTCGGTTCTCTTACAGTATACAATATGCGTCAACGACAAAGATCTGAACAACAAACTGGAGTGTCAAATTTGAGACTACATCGTATTCGAGATTTTCAACGCATGACACTTGTTCAAACAGCTTGGGCCATTGCGTTAACTCTCCCATTTGGTATTCATAAATTACATCGAACAATAACACATTCTGATTTGAAAACTCCAGAAAAATTAGCATGGGAACGATTGAGTATGTCTATAGTACGATTACTATGGTTTTTTCATGATAGTGCTGCATTTTATATATATTCACTTTCATCTGTTAAATTTCGTCATGAATTACTGAAATTTCTGGATGAACATCTACCTCGAAGAATATACGGAACTCAAAGGACAAAAAAAGTTTTTGAAATATTATCTATTGAATAGAATAACAATAACAAGTTGAAAAAAACATTAGAACTTGAAATTACAAAAGTCTAAGGTTTGAATATTTAAGTATAGCAGCCTCTTTTGTGTTGTGTGTGTGCAGTTTTCAGTTCAGTGTTGTCATTTTTGTATCTATTTACCATATTATAATGATGCTATTGAATGTGAATATATCAAAAATGAAAGCTTACTTTGACATTTAGTTAATAATGAACAAAGAAAGTAAAGAACCTGAAAATTCTCTTTTTATGCGATCAATTCTTGAGAGTTTTTTATTCTATATAATTGTGAAACTTAGTGAATAAATAATTACAATATATATTATAAAGAAAATTATCTCGCCCACCACAAGGTAGTAAAATTATTTATTTTTTACTACTAAGGCGACATAACGTTAGAATGACATTCAAAATTCAATGTAGATAATAATATAGAAAATTAAATTAAACTTCAGCAAAGTATTTATGAAATTGAGATTGTTTTGCTCTAATTGCGATAAACATGTTGTACCCGATGGCTTTTTTTGTAGTATTAGATGTAACACAAACTTGAGTTGATCGTCCATTGACATGAAACAGAATTGATTATGTTTGGTGGAATTGCCACTAATTCTGCTACTTAGATTAATGATTGTTGTACTACTTTCATAACCAACTCATAGAAATTAACCACAATAATTAAATCTATCGAGTAGATATATATGTATACATAAGCCATTCAATCAAAAGTTATAAAAAAGTGATATAATAAATCTACTGGTATGATGCTAAACAAACAGTTGATATCCACAGCATCCGGTGTCCACTTACAAGCGCTTACTATCCACTGTAAAATACTGTGAATATCATTGCAAGCAATCAACAGAATGCTTCAGTTAATATCATAATAGCTACTAGGTAGACCATTGAACTTTACATTGCGAAGTATAGGTGCATGATGATACACAACCACAGAGTCGTCATCAAATTCTTGAACGCGTATTTCATTTCATGATAATTGGATATGTGAACTGTATCAAGTGAAACTATGCTCGAATCTTGAGTTTTATCTAACGATCAATCCAATTCATTATTTAATGCATAAGAAACGTCTGTAGTCAACAAGTACATGGGCTAAAATGGTTAAAAAATTAACATGATATATTTTGAAATAATATTTACAAACGAGAGTACTTATTGTTCATGTACTTTGAAAATCACAAGCTAATATTTTGATAGATACGCTACAGAGGCCAACAACGAATCGATCCGAACTTGAACTAATTTTCAAAAAATTAGTCGAGTGGGGAGTCAAGATCGAATAAAAAAAATAATTTATTGCATTATAATCAGTTTTGTAAAAGTGCATTGCCATCGAAGAAGATAAAACAAGCTTTGATTGATCGTTAGACTTCTTAATTTAATTTTCATATAATGCAGCCTTTTGTCTTTACTTGATGAATGTTACACTAATTCGGTTTATGAGAATGCATCACTTTGTATACTATATGATTCTCTTATTTTCTTCTCTATTGAATTCTTCATTTTTTCGGTCGTCCAATGAATAATCGTGTGTAACTATGTGACATTATGTATTATGACTCAAAAAAAACAAAAATCGGATGAACCAAATATATTGAATTATAAACATCAGGTAAATGTTTTTCTCATATCCTATGTGAATAAAATTTTAGTGTAAAATGTTATAAAATAAGATAAGAGATAAGAGTAACTTTATTGATAAAACCGCAGTGTGATTGAAATACACTTGTCAATATTGACTTGTTTTGCACGACATGTCATGAAGTGTTAATTTTTGAACATATTTTCATCGACATTTGCAATAGATTACTGATCAGAGAACAAAATAAAAAGTTAAATATCATTCATGAAAATGTCTAACAACTCAAGCCACACTGTTTTACGTCTTAATGAGATCACTACTAATATCTATCGATTTACTTTTCCTCCTTTGATCATTTTTGGTCTTATTGGTCATATACTTGATATAATTATATTTACTCGACCAAAACTTATTTCAAATTCATGTTGTAATTATTGTCTTGCATCATCATGTGTTTCTATTATACAAATTGTACTTGGTCAATTAGTTCGTATGTTAAAGGGTGGTTATCATATACCAATACCAGTTCTTTGGTGGTGTCGAATACGCATATTTTTCTTATATTCAGCTTATTTGACATCAACAACTTTCATTACACTTGCATCTGCCGATCGTTATGTTTCATCATGTTCTCAAGTGAAATATCGTCGATGGGCTAATGTTAAAGTTGCACGACGTTTGATTCCAATTGTTTTAATTATTTCATGTCTTTGTCAGTCGCATATCTTAGCCTTATTCGTTGTTCATGAAGATGGAGAAAAAGAATGTTGGGCTCCAAGATACTCTGATTATCGATTAGGTTATGACATTGCTTTTCTTATTGCTCATGGAGTAATCTTTCCTATACTATTGGGTGTATTTGGTTTTCTAACATTATACAATATACGTCGACGAAGATCTGATCAACAAAAGGGCGTAACAAACTTGAGACTACATCGTATTCGAGATTTTCAACGAATGACACTTGTACAAACAGCTTGTACCATTATATTTACTCTTCCATATGCTATTCATAAATTACATCGAACAATAACACATTCTCCTTGGAAAACTCCTGAAAGATCGGCATGGGAACGATTGATTATGTCTATAGTTCGATTGCTATGGTTTTTTCAGGATAGTGGTGGATTTTACATATATTCACTTTCATCTGTTAAATTTCGTCATGAGTTACTGAAATGTCTATATGCACATCTACCTCGAAGAATACAAGAAACTCAAAGGGCTAAAACACCTCTTCAAATATCTATCGGAAACAATAACGATTACAAGTTGTAATATGCACTAGAAATTTATAGTACAGAAGTCTTAGACTTGAATATTTAAGTATAAATTTTGTTTCTTTTTGCGTACGATTATTCATTTCGTATTTTCGGTTTTCGATTGTTTTTTCATATTATAATAATACTATTTGATATGAAAATATAAAAAATAAATAACTTACTTGAGAATGAAGGATTTGTGCGAAGAGCAAAGTATCCACAGCCGTAGTATCGTAAATCCTTATTGAACAGAATACCAGTCAATAAGGAATTAAAATCTGCACCAATCACAACTAGCGTAAGAGACAACAGCCATCAATGATCGGATATTACACGAGAATACTTCAACTTGTCACTCATTTTACTAATCTATTTTGCCTGACTTAGCATTTGATGTATTGTATTTCTAAGAAGAAATCAAGTGCTTTTGTTTGTTAGATTCATCAATGGTAGCGGCTTGCTTCCCAAACCCCAAAGGAATTTATTAAGTATACGAGTTTATTAGAAAGGCTCTCATAAAGATCACAATGATTGATATTGATTTGCTGTGCAGACTCGAGTGTGTTTACTAGAACTTGTTATTGTACGCCTATTGAGAAATGATAGCACAAATATATTAAATAATACACATCATTATGCATTATGTATATCGAATTGAAAACTCTAAAATCGAGAGTGTAGCTGTATGAGAATCTGCTATTCAGCATTCCATATATAGACGAACGAATTTAAGTATTTGTTTATAATGTAAGTAAATTTAATACCTTTGAGTATGTATATGTATTTTGTAAAGTCAACGAATGTTTTTTCTCACATTGCATGTAAATAGAGTTTAGCTTACAATCTTATACAATAAGATAAGAGAAAACAGTTATTTTATTGATAAAATTCCAATGTGATTATATTTGACTTGTCAATAAAGACTTGTTTTGCATCATAAAGTATAGAGTGATAAATTTTGAACATGTTTTCACTGACATTTACGACCCGTTGTTGATCATAAAATCAAATAAAAAGTTCAGTTTCATTTATGAAGATGTCTAACAACACAAGTCACACTATTCATCGTCTCAATGAAATCACTACTAATATCTATCGATTTACTTTTCCTCCTTTGATCATTTTTGGTCTTATTGGTCATATACTTGATATAATTATATTTACTCGACCGAATCTCATTTCAAATTCATGTTGTAATTATTTTCTTACATCATCATGTGTTTCTATAATACAAATTGTATTTGGTCAATTATTTCGTATGTTAAAAGGTGGTTATCATATACCAATACCAGTTCTTTGGTGGTGTCGAGTACGTAGGTTTTTAGTATATTCAGCTTCCCTGGCGTCAACAGCTTTCATTACACTTGCATCTGCCGATCGTTATGTTTCATCATGTTCTCAAGTGAAATATCGTCGATGGGCTGATGTTAAAGTTGCACGACGTTTGATTCCAATTGTTTTAATTATTTCATGTCTTTGTCAGTCTCATATCTTAGCCTTATTCGTTGTTCATGAAGATGAAGAAGACGAGTGTTGGGCTCCAAGAGCAACTCATTATCGATTAAGTTTTGATAGTGTTTTTCTTATTGTTCATGGAATAATCTTTCCTGTACTATTGGGTGTATTTGGTTTTCTAACATTATACAATATACGTCGACGAAGATCTGATCAACAAAATGGCGTAACAAACTTGAGACTACATCGTATTCGAGATTTTCAACGTATGACACTTGTACAAACAGTTTGCGTCATGGCATTGACTATACCGCTTGCTATTCATAAATTACATCGAACAATGACTCCTTCTGATTTGAAAACTCCAGAAAAATTAGCATGGGAACGATTGAGTATGTCTATAGTACGATTTCTGTGGTTTTTAAACGATAGTGGTGGATTTTACATATATTCACTTTCATCTATGAAATTTCGCCGTGAATTATTGAATTTTTTTGATGAATATCTACTACAAAGAGTACACCGAGCTTCCACGATGGCAACATCCTTGGAATCATCTAATGCAACAAGAACAATAACAAACCGTAAAAACGGTTGAAAATTGAAAGTGCATGAGCTTTGAATATTTAAATACAATGTTTGTTTTGTGCTAATTTCAATTCAGCATTATTGTTTTTCATATGATACTGATATTATTTGGTGTTAATACATCAAAAATTAAATTTTATTTTTCTATTTAGTAAGCAATGATCAAAGACAATAACAACATGGACATAGTCTTCTGTCATAATGAATGTTTGAGAATTTCCTATTCTATATAAGTGTGAAATTTAGTAAATGAGTAAAAATGATTTATATTACAGATCAACTCATTTCATCAGTAAGAAGATGGTAAAATTATTTATTCTTTACTAATAAGACGCACAATGTTAGAAGGACATTCAGGATTTGCTTTAAATAATTATATAGAAAATTAAATTCAACTTCGGCAAAATATTTATTAAATCGAGTTTGTCTTGTTGTAATCCTTTAAAACCGAGGATGTTTTTTTCTATGATCAAAAAAAAAGTAGAGCTCTAAAATAAAGTTTTGTGACACTTAGGTATTGTGAGATTATAGTTAAAAGAAGATAAAGTGTTTTTCTTAGAGAGTTACACGATGTTCGTTAGAAGGAACATCTTATGTTAAAACATAAATGTATCACATTTCTTTATTTATGTGAGAAAATGTTTTTCTTACAAATAATTCTATTTATTTATTTTATATAACACTAAGAAGTAATCGCATAAAATATTTCCGACTTTTTAACACTTCTGCACTTTTCGTTTCATCATAACACTACTCTATGAGCTCGGCCAAGTGTTCCAAAATGAATCTTATGCTTTCACTAAGTGTTCAGAATTAGAGTACAATCAGTAGCTCCGTCAAAGGTGAATCAACATTTTATCGATCATCGAGAATGTTCGAAAAAGACATTTAATCGTTTATATTTAATTTCGGAAAAGCTTTCTTAAGCGATGATGTTTTTGTTATCAGATATGTATAATATTCAGTTGGTTGCTCACTGATGTTGAAAAGAGGTGTTTAAATCAACAGTACAGCAACATGATGATATGCAATGAGAGTCTGCAGTGAAGTATTGAATATATATTTTATTGCATAATGATTGGATATGTAAGCTGTATAAATTGAAACTGATCTTGAATCTCCAGTTCTCACACTTATATTTCTGATTATTCCTTTTTTTTTTTACTTTTTGTTGATGAAATACAGAAAAAATGGATTAAATCAAATATTAAAAATTTTTTCAATTGTTAAGTTTTTAAAATTAAAATAACATTTTATCTATTTAAATGATTCTATTTTGTTGTTAACTCATAAAGACGAACATAAATGTAATTAAGACCAAAATCATTATATTTTATTTACCAAAAAATAAATTTACAGTGAAGAATTTTATTTAATATTAATGCAAAAAAAATATCGAATTAAAATAACTTTATCAAAAAATAGAAAACTTTATTGTTCTTTCGGCGAATTGTTATGAGGATTATTTATCAGAAAACAGAAAGATCTGCAAAAAGACATTGCCAGAATGATGTTTATTGATGAAGTATAATTTCAAGGTTAATCAAACAATATTTCATCAAATTTTCATTAAAAAAAAAGGACAGTTTTTCAACGAAAAAGTTTTGTGCAAGTAAGAAAGAAAAAATGAAATATTTGTTTTTTCATTAATTAGCGAACAAAGAACGAGTAATGTATATAACTTCTTTGATTGTACTTTTGAAAAAATCTGAATTTTATTCTATAACCATTGGATTATAATGAAGAAGATATAATATTTCTCTTTTCGCAAAGAATAGTATGAAAGTTATTTTATATATTTTCGTTCATTATTTCGTTTCGTTTCTTTAAAGAAAAATGATCAATGTAATCAAAACTTAGTAGAAAAAATAAATTTTGTCCGAATAAAAAAAAGAATTTTCGTTCTTCATGATTAACTTAAAAATGATATGAAGTGGGTAGTTCCATAGAATCTTTGATTTTAATGCAATTTTCAGGATCTGTAAAGCTTTTATTTTGACAGAGATATACTAAAAATACTTTACACAATAAAAATAAAAAAACTGGCAAAGAACGTTTTTTTTTTACTTAGTTTTTCTCTAATTATTTTAGGTAGGTTTGTGCATTTAAAAAAGTCAAAAATAAAGTCGAAGACTATAGTTAAATTCCTTGTGGCAATGTGTATTCGACCACACTAAATTTATTTTGAGTTAGAAACACAAAACTTCCAAATATAGCCTGACAGATCGATTTCCATACAAAAAATGTGGTGCTATCTTACATCCTTGATTATTCCACAAAGCCAAATTACTTATTGTAGTGGTACTGTGCACAATCGATAGAGCATCACGTGCTTTACAACCCAAATGACATGAAATTCCCATTAGGTTTGATGGACTTGAAAGTCGTGTTTAATGCACGAAGCTATGTTGAAGAAGTTATTTAAGAAGAGTATTCTGTTTATATCCAACTAGATCAAAGTTTTGAGTGTATCTCATGAATAAATGAACGATAGAAGAGTCACTGTTTCGATAATAATTCATGAATGTTATCAAATATCGAGTTTGATGTTTTACTATTTGACAACTCTTTCTGAAAGTTACACAACTATATCGACTCCAAACTTAATAAACACAAATTGTTTCAGGCATGTCTAGATGCACCATTCTAAGAACTGGATGTTATTCTTTTTTGACTAGTCTTTAGTCGAATATGATTAGAGAAGTACAGTCTGAATGAAAACTAACGTCTGGTTTAGAAATCTATCGGTGAGAAAATGAGTATAGAGTTGTCAAGCGTCAATAAAACAGTCGTCGGCAATAATCAACTTTGCCAATTGTATTTACAACCATTTTTTTCATTCGGTTCGAACTATTGTCGCCTTCCCTTTGTGGGATTCTTTTGTTTACAAATGATTCAATCTGTCTTGTGAGCTTATTTTTTTACTTTTTCTCTTTGTGTAAATAAGTTGGAAGCAATAATGTTGTCCACAGTGGAAAAAAGTCAAAAATACCCACTTGGATTCTATCTATGATGTCTACTACAATTTATTTTTTCAACTTTAGAAATATCTTTTGTCAATGTAGACTGATTGATTTCAAAAAAGAACAAAAGGCAAATTCCCACTAAAGTGTCTACTATAAAGCGTAAACAAAGCTGTATATATATATATATTATTCTGAACCATACCGACTTTCGTACTTCAATAGACTATAAATAGTCACGTACATTCATTCTTGCATTCAAATAATATTTAGTTCACAGCACTCTTCAACATTTATGGCACTGGAATTCTGGCATTACATAGTAATTCATGTGTCAGTCGGAGTTGGCATACTCACACTCTCGTTGCTGATTCTTTATTTATGTTCAAGATTCGCTCCTCACATTTACAGCTTTCTAAATAGTCGTCTTTTTGGCATCAAAGTTATCTACGAACTCACAAACAATGATGGCAATACTGGAAGTACGAATGAAAAGAAAGTTAATCGTTTTGAAATAACTATTGATGATCAAGCGGTCACATCACGTGCTCCATGGGTTCACCAACATTTTCTCACTTTTATTGGTGCTATAACTTTGTCCGTGGCACTGATGACTCTTTTTGAAGGATGCATTTTAGCTAGTGCAGGGCTTTATCCAGGTGATGAGTGTCCTAGCGATCCAATGACTTGTTTTGTTTTCGGAAATACTTCAAGTGTACCCGTGAATGATGCTTTTAATTGTACACCCAGCGTTATTCCCACTATGCCGATAAACGGAACAAATGCATGGTGTTATGGATGGGTCATCAAAAGAAACACGGTTAGCCGAGTTATTAATCAAATTGGTGTCTGTGGTGGAATTCTAGCCGTGATTGGCACACTCTTTGCATTTATGTTTCAAGCAAACACCGCTGTTGCGACTTTAATACTAATGATTTCATTTTCAACTTTTCTCGTGATGCTTGCTTTAGCTCCTACAATCAAGGTGTCTTTTTCCGTCTTAGCCTATATCGTTTGTATTAACTGTTTCATCATTGGATTAGCAGGTTGTCTATTCAACATCGACGAAGAGTCCAATGCAAATGGAAAAAAATCACAGAATGCTTCTGACGATGTAGTCAACAATTCATCAGCTAATGTTTCTCATGTACCGAGGGGTACAAACAAGATCACACCTGTCTCAACCTAATTTCTCATTGTTGATATGCGTTCGCTCGATTCATGTGACAGTCAAACTATTTTTCTATGTTCGCGCCTTCAAAATTACGAAATGACATTCTCTTTTAAGACATTCAAAACTGCACGCACGAGTTTGTCCACTCACTACAATGGCTCGAAGCTTTTTTGCGATTCAGCACAGAATTTTACTTATTTTTACTCATAGCTGACTTTCAATAGAAGAAAGATCACAGAAATCGACTTTTTTAAATCGAGCAATGAGGGTAGAACATTTGAGGCAAGACGAATGAATGAAGCCAGAGAACAGATCATTTTAACCATCAACAACTCGTTATTTTCATCCGTTATCAGTGACAGTAAAAGTCGAAAATTCTGGAAATTTAAAACAAGAAGTCAAGCTCTATCTTGAAAGGCATGTTGCTCTAGCTGATAGTTGATCGATGATTTTGGATCTGTCTGGTATCTCCTAGAGACTCGAATGCCTATCATTGTGCTTTAGCTTTCTTAGTTTTCCATAGGATTGACAAATCAAACAGATGTTCGACGTGCCTCAAAACCCAGCTACAGTCATAGTGTTGAAACCAAATTCGGATGCGAATTTCACAGCGTGTTTAATTGTGTCGTAATTGAGTATCAAGTAGAAGTGTCTGATTAGCACTATTTTCAAGTTTAATACATATGCTTAATGTGACTATACCTTTGAGAGCTCGTGTTCCAAAGTTTCCGATAACAGAACAAACGTTTTTTTAATCAGAAGTGCCACAACCAAAACAGAATAAATTTATTTAATTTTGACGATTTCTGAGCTTAAAATATAGTCTATGTATCTGCATTAAAAATAGCGGCAATTCAATGCTAACACGTTAGA